ATGAAATGGCCGCATAACATCTTAAGATCGAATCTTAAGACGATCTTCAATGTAAGAACGGACCATGAATACTGGTCTAAAATACTTTCTTAGAGTCTGTTGCCGCCCGCGGACGGCAACGGACGTGTTTAGACACGTTACGCGTGTGTCCTTTGGACTTTATTTTTGAGTTTCTTCCTCTCCTTTAGAGGAATTTTTCTATTTGTTACTCCCAACCAGTTTTTGGCCGGAATGTACCGATCCAATTAAATCGGATGTGGCCACGATAAGAAAGGAAGAAGAAGAATACTTTCTTACGTATGAAGTATCTCAAGATCACATTGAATTATATTTTTGTTGCATTCGGTCTCGTGACGGATGGAACAATAATTCTAGTATCTTACAAGCATTGTAGTCAATACGTCGATTATTCTATCGTATCTCCGTTACATCAAGCATTAGGTCAGTGGCACACAAGAAAAGTTAACACAGACTTCTATATATTACTATAGAGTCCTATATAATCAGAGAAGCGACAATGGCGTTCCGCTTGCTGATTGGCTGATCGCCACAGGCCCGTTCCACTTAACGACCGCAACGCTCACGGTATCATTTCATCTTTGTTGTTCACCGAAAGTTAAACAAAGACAGATAATGCTCGCGATATAGGATTCTATAGTAATATATAGAAGTCTGTGTTAACTTTTCTTGTGTGCCACTGATCTAATGCTTGATGTAATGGTTAAGTGGAACACGCCCTATGTTGGCACTTAGTTTGCACGTAGTGAATCCTACATGCAAACTAATCGCAACCGGCGTACCGTAAGTGAGAAAAAAGTATATTTGTAATGTTATTTAAAAAAAACATTTTAAATATCTCTAAGACATTTTTAAGACATTTTAGATTACAAATGGACAGCTGCGGGCCCAACATGGCGATCATGGGAAGCATGGAGGGGATAACGATGTCGCTTATATAGGACTCTATATTACTATACTGCGTTCACGGAGAGAACAACCTCGCTTCGCGCAGCTTTGGGCGGAGTGGGGATTAGGTGAGAGACTTCAGCGCGTTACTCAATGCCGTATGCGTATTGATCATATTAACTTTCTAATGTTTGAAAGAATTCATTAAGGAATGCGCGAGTCTCCTTTGTCAATTAGCCGGATCTGCAAGCTGCAAGACCAATATTGACAGCATAGAGGGGGCAAAATGGGCGATCGATCGGGCGGGATCTGACCGAACCGGACGAAAAGCGAGGTTGTTCTCTCCGTGAACGCAGTATAGACTGCTAACTCTTACGAAATACATGGTCCCGAAAAGTATGTACATAACATATGCACACAGCATACATACACAAAAACACTTTTCGTCTGTACACATCGGCCATTCCTCTTCTTTCCTGATTCCTATTTAGCGCTATCGCAACACAAATTGACATAGCTGCATATGTATAGCATAAGACCGTCTGGACCAATGAGCATGCTATGTAAATCAATATGGCGATTTTATGTTCGATGCTCATTGATACAGACGGTCTTATGACGGTGCATATGCAGCTATGTCAATTTGTGTGCGATAGCCCTTAAGTCATGCATGCGCAGATGTTTCTCATACGTAATATCAGAGAGAAGACTGAGAGTCACCACGCTGCCCTTTTTCGTAAGATGCTTTTTCTATCGTACACTAGCGTCATGTATATCCATTTTACGCTGCCTGGAACTACATGGCCACTTTCAGAGCCATGATAAAACAGCCGATCAGTTTATGTCCGTGCTACATGCACTTTTCAATACTGTCGGTTTTGGTTCATGTCCGTGCTATATCCACTTTTCAATACTGTCGGTTTTGGTTCATGTCCGTGTTACATCCACTTTTCGATATTATCGATACTGGTAGTACACTGATCGTTTGTCAAAGAGAGATAATTCTTTTTAATATAATACTGTTACATCCTGGCGACTCCACGATTCCTTCCTTCCGCGAAATTGCGGCAAGGATCGTCGATTGGCAATAAAAATAAGTCTTTCGGTAAATAGAACATCTTGCACCACATAACGTTTTAAACTTTAAACATTTCATCATTTATCAGTAAATATATCTATGAGTAACCGCGAGAAAAACAAGAAGAAATTAGGCCGATCAATAGATATTCCATATATAGACTTTCCAGCGAAAGAACAAATAAACAGCGAAGAGACGATGAAATCACCTTACGAAATATCTAACAAAATAACCGCATCATCATCGATAGAAATCATAGACCTTTGCTATTCACCTCAAAATCACGTGTGCAAAGGTCCATCGGAAAATGTTCACCTTCGACCATACGAATTATAAAAAGGGAGCCCGCAAGACTCCATCATCTCAGTTTTCATCAGAGTCACCCGGTTAACGAATCAGTCCGGCAGTAAGTCATTTAACAAGTCAATCTATAAGTCGATTAGTTAGTCCGTTCTCAGTGCAGTTATTAAAAATCGTTTACATCGCGAACTGTGCATCTCTCCCGACCACGAACGACATTCTCCGAGTTAAGCTGCCCGTCCGTCTTCTACTTAAAAAGAGTAAGTCGCTACCAACCAATTTTTCTTTACGCGAATTCCAACTAGGAATTATTACTTATAATTTTCTATAGTGAAAAAGATCACTACCAGCCAGAATTCTAATCTTAACGATAGAGCCTTTCCCAACTCAGTCTGGCTGATGTCCTCCGAACCATTGTAACACCCGCGGAGCGATAAGCTTAACCACACACAAACACTCACACTCACACGATAAATGTTATCACTTTCTACAAATATATATATCATGTATTCAAACTTTTTACTTTTCTAATGAATAAAATTATATTTTATTTAACTAGTTAAACAATTCTTAACCCCTCTCTCGTTCCCAGTACGAAGATCGCACTAGGTCCCATCCCGCGTAAAAAGGATTAAATTCCCTGACCGAAAAGGGACCACCAAGCGAACGTCTGAATAAACAGCGTAATAGCGACCCGAACGGTCGTTTACCTGGCTTTCAGACCTAAGAGTTCGTTCGACCCGATTCTTACGCCGCAAGGCGTCTGATTTCGGGATAATTAAGATAGTTGTTGCGCCCTTCCATCGACTCATCCTTTTTCGAGTCTGGACGTAACAATACATTTGAATATAATAAATCACCTAAAAAAACCTCACAAAGGTAAAACAAAATACGTCAAGTATATAAAAAACTCCCAACTTGTACGCTAAAAAAGTTTATTATTTATCCCTAAAAAATAACTTTTAAAAAAATTTTTCTTTGAAAAATAATTTTCATACAAAATAAAAAACTAAAAAATGATTTTCCTCTAAAAATTAAAAACCTTTAAAAAATCAAATATCAAAACTAAATATGAAATCAAGTTAACTAGCCAAGTACATAGAAGCAGTTCAGTTTGTAAGAGTTTGTAATTTAAAATAGTATTTGTTTGATAAAATCAGTCTTGCATTTATAGAAATATTATAACAATAATATATATGTTCAAAAATAATATATATGTGCTTATATTATATTATCTCACAATAATACAGTATAGTTTTATTTATGTAGAATTGGCATTCGTTAATTTTATTTTTAGTATATAATGTTCAACAATAATATATATGTGCTTACATTATATTATCTCACAATAATATAGTACAGTTTTATTTATGTAGAATTGGCATTCGTTAATTTTATTGAATCCTATTTGGTATTGTTATAGTTTGCTCCCATGCACACCATACGTCCAGACTTCAAGTTTTTTGCCAATACTGTATGACACAATTTTGTTCCAATCAATTTTTGTTCGCATTACTGGCAGTTGTCTTCGCAATGCCTTAAAGGTGATGTCGGACATCATTTGATAGTTTTCGAAAATTGCCGTTTGATTCTTTGACAAACCGTATCAAATCTTTCGTTGCTTGCTTCTTGTTGGAGATGGGCAGGCTAGGCTCTCCTTTATCTCTTTGCTACTGAATTTCTCTATCTGTTTGCGAAGAAAAGAACAGAATTATAATATTTAATTTAGTTTACATATCTGGTTTCATACGTGCTACTTAATGTTTTATATGTGCTAATTAATTGTACTTACTGTCTGTTACTGCCAAATCTCTGTAACCCAATATGTTACACTATTTAGCAAAGTTCTTCAGCTGGGATTGCATACGGTACAAGACCGTATGCAATTCCAGCTGAAGAAATCCCAGCTATAAAAGTATACCGGTCTTCTTTCCGCTTTAACCTGCAAATAAGCACTATAATTTAGATAATATTCAGATATAATCAAGAAATATACTTATAAA